GACATCTGTACAAGCGGAATTAATGTTTTTAACACCTCCTTTCTGTCAAGCACCTTGCATATATTGTATAATCCAATCTTACAACAATATCCTAAAGATAAAGCAAAAGGACAAAAAAAAATCTTGCCCCAAACCCATTCCCTTTCCATTTATTCCCTGTAGGCTTACAGGAATCAGTGAAGTGCCTGACGGCGGAGAAACTGTGTTAACAGGATTGCCACACCTATAACTTCTGAGTAACATCCCAGAACTGACACACAAAATAGTCCCGTTCCTTTCCATTGATAGTATTCACAATGCATTTATTTTACTTTTGCCTCCTCTAATATTCATAAAAGTCCCATGCCCTCCCTTCTCAGTCTTAGGAATCTGATATGCAGCCCATTGAGAACCTAGCTTAGAGCTGTACTTTCTGCATACCACCCCCAGACAAGATTTACCAAAATGGAGTCTTACTTCCTATCATTTACATTGTAAAACCTACGGACTTGAAATATAAAATCTTAATTACATATGCCACTCCTCCATGCACCAACATGCTGAGGGTCCTGCTTCAGGTAAGGTTCCTTGATTGATGATATTCTGTATACCTAGATGTGCCAAGAGGGTGAGCCGTCCCTGAGGACATGGAGTTTCACATTTATGTTCATTTGCTTCACCATAGTAACTGATATGGTTTGGCTGTGTCCCCACCCAAATCTCATCTTGAATTGTAGCTCCTACAGTTCCCAAGTGTTATGGGAGGTACGGGGTGGGAGATAATGAATCAAGCGGGCAGTTTCTCCCATACTGTTCTCATGGTAGTGAATAGTGGTAGTGAATAAATCTCATGAGATCTGATGGTTTTATAAGAGGTTTCAAGGGACAAATGAAAAGATTTCTCTTTTCATTTGGTTCTCATTCCCTCTTCACCTGCATCTTTTTTCTTTATAAATTACCCAGTCTCGGGTATGTCTTTATCAGCAGCATGAAACCGGACTAATACATTTTACTATTTATATGCATGCCATAATATCATGTCATATACCTTAAATATACAAAATAAAATATATTTTAAAAAAAAACAAATTTCACATATCAGAACCTCCTAGACCTCACCCTATGCAACTCTACCTTTTGCTGATTGATTTGCATCCTTTTGCTATAATAAAATGTAAATGCAAGTATGACACTTTCAATGAGTTCTGTGAGTTGTGTCAGTGAATTATTGAACCTGAAGATGTAGTGAGAAACACCAAGTTTCTAGCCAGCTGGTCAAAAGTGAAGATGTCCTGGGAACTCCCAAATTTGTAGCTGGTGTCTGAAGTGAGGGCAGTGCCCTGCATCTGCAAAATTCAGTCTGACTCCAGGTAGTTATTGTCAAAAGTCATTTTTCTGATCTCACAAAAGTGGTATTGGCTACAGTGACCCGGACTCACTGAAACATGTGCTTTGGGAAGAGAAAGAACGAGAGGGTGAGAGATGAATACTCATTGATTCCTGAATGGCTACCTAGTCCCTAGTGACCTGTGATACAAAACTGCACCCGTGCAGTGACCATTTATGATAGAAGTTGAGGATCTCTGTTTTCTGATTGCTAACTCTGATCTTAACTGATAAGAGTTAAGCAATGGAATTTTTCTCTTTTTGAGACAGAGTCTTGCTCTGTCACCCAGGTTGGAGTGCAGTGGCACGATCTTGGCTCACTGCAGCCTCCACATCCCGGGTTCAAGCGATTCTTCTGCCTCAGCCTCTAGAGTAGCTGGGACTACAGGTGCACGCCACCACTTCTGGCTAATGTTTGTAATTTTAGTAGAGACAGCTTCATTATGTTCCAGGCTGGTCCCAAACTCCTGACCTCAAGTGATTCACCCGCCTCGGACTCCCAAAGCACTGGGATTACAGACATGAGCCACTGAGCTGGGCCAGCAATGGAATTTAGGAAAGAGAGATCCAACTCCTAAGGGGGCTGCCTCATTGTAATGCATCAGGAAATGCAAAGTAACAAGAAAGAGCAAAACATACAATTCCTTGCTTATTGTGATCCATGGTTAAAATGGAAGAAATAGACAAGTCAAGCTTAGATTCTGGCTGGCCTGACTACAGCCTCAGGACTCAGGATTGTCATGGAAAGAATGTGCTGGGGCAGATCCTGATGCTGGATCAAGTTCAGATGCTGGCCCACTGGAGATATAGCCACTAGCCTCAAAGCCATTTCCAAAGGGAAAGGTTATGCTGAAACCTGGACAGTGAAGAAGACTGGTGTAGTTCCTAAGAGAATGGGGAAAAATGAAGAGGGTGAAATAAAGGAGAAAGAGAAAGGATGTCAGGCGTCTCATCCCAGCAGGGTGGAAATCTTTAAATGCCTATAAAGAAATGGAGTGAATAAAGCAGATGTTCATGGGCCAAAAAAAGCTCTTAATGCCACAGTCTTAGGATATGGGATGGGAGCCCCTGCTGTTCCTCCAACAATGAAGAGTCTGCTTCATTCACCCTAGTTTGAAGGAATTAAGAAATCTGACCTCAGATCACCTGCCATGATGATCCCACAATCTAATCAGTACAAGGATTGACAAAAGGACCTGAGTTCCTTGAATGAATTCAGGGAGTTCACGTCAGAAGTCATTTCCAAAAGGGCAAAATCCCTTGATGAGGTGAGGGAACTCGGGTACAGAGAATGTTTAAAATTGTAGAAGGAGAGAGAGAGGCCGGGGCAATCATCCAAGACTGCCCAGACCTCCAGGTGAGCCCTCCTTCCCTTCCACATGCCATGACCTTAAGCACTGGAAAACACAGGTTTTAATCCAAAGTTTGCAGAGGAACAGAAACCATCTCATTTCATTTATAAAACAGTTGAGAAAAACTCATTTACCCTATTGTCTTTGTGTAAATAGAGTTTGGACAGAGCTGCTCATGCTGAGGATGAGCTTTACATGGCAGGGGAAGGTAGAGGGTGACAAGAGATTCCATACAAACACACTACAGGAAAAGAAGCGAGTAGAGGAATCAATTCAGGTAGAAAACATAGCTCAAGAAAAAGAATTGTTTTATGCCATGGAAGAATTTAAGATAAATACTTTAATAAGGCAAAACCTCAAACTGCAAAGATAAAACAACAGAAATATGTGAAGAGAGATTGCAAAGCTAAGGAAAGGAACTGAGATCACAACACAATATCTGAACTGATAAACTGGAAAGAATTATAGTTGACAGTTGAGTTATAGACATAGAGCAAAGACCTGCCGTGATCTCAGAGAATGCAGACGAAAAAAAATCAAAGATGCAGGAATTAGACAAAATAATATATGAGAGTCCTACAGGACAATTGGTACCTGTGAGGTAGAGAATCTAACTAATAGAATATGAAAGATATTTAATTATTATAAGAGGAAAAATTCCTAAAAGAATTGAATCTGCAGCTCAGAAGGCACAGTGTCCCAGGAAAAGTGACACAGAGTGACTGAGACACGGGTATTGCCTGATTAAAGTGCTTAACTTCAAGGATGAAGAAATAATTCTTCAGGCATACATTTAGATGTACATGCAAAGAGTTTGGGAAAATTTGACTAGCCTTGATCTTCTTCAAGGCATAAAGAAGTCAACAGGAGACCTTTGCATGGCTACAAAAGACTGAGGGCAAGAAGGTGTTACCTAAAAATATAATCTCTCCCCAAGGAGTTCTTCAAGAATAAAGGCAACAGGCAAAGTTTCTCAAATATGAAGGGACTTGGGGAGTGAAGCACTACTGAAAAAATTATTTGATCACAGCCATTCAAGGAATAAAATAAAATGACTGGTAGTTAGCAATGAACAAATTTAAATAGACTGGAAATGGTGGCTCACACCTGTAATCCCAGCACTTTGGGAGGCCGAAGCAGGCAGATCAGTTGAGGCCAGGAGTTCAAGACCAGCCTGGCCAACATGGTGAAACTCCGTCTGTACAAAAAACAAATACAAAAACTAGCCGAGTGTGGTGGTGCATGCCTGTAATCCCAGCTATTCAGGAAGATGAGGCACAAGAATCACTTGAACCTGGGAGGTGGAGGTTGCAGTGAGCTGAGACCATGCCACTGCATTCCAGCCTTAGTGACAGAGCGAGACTCTGTCTCAAAAAAAATAAAGAATTAACACTAAACAGACATGAGGAATATGGTTACACTCCTTGGCAATTTACAAATAATAAAATAATTGGAGATAGGAGATGATAGAAGAGCAAGATGGGAGAAGAACTCATTTTCTTGCCTTTTTTAGCAAAAAATAAGTAAACACTGTCTAAAAGTGAAGACATGACGTGAGCAATAAGGATTACTGGAATACACTGGAGTGAACTAGTGATAAGGCACTTGATTATTGTCATGTGGAAATGCAGGCCAAGGTGATTCTGATGAGACATCATATTTAAAATCTTGGTTGATGATTCTAGATGACAGGGAGCCTCTAAAGGATTTTAGGCAGAGGAGTGACATATAAAGGTTGCATTTTTTAAATTATTCCCCATGCCTGCTATGATAAGAGCCTCCAGGATTCAAGGAGAATTTGAAGAGAACAAGATGGTGGCAGGACAACCAGTTGGGAACACTAGACCAGCTGTCCAGGTGAGAAGAGGAGGGCTATAGTGAGTCGGCTAGACTGTGTTGATCGGGGGTTAAGGAGAGAGAGGAGTCAAGGTGGACTCCCAGGTTTCAGCTTATAAGGCCAGGTGGCATTAGCAAATGACACAGAGAGCACAGAATGAGACAGATATATGACCAAGAAAATGTGATAAAATAATAATGGAGGAATATGCACATACATACACACGTGGGGGCTAATATGAAACATCAGAATCACAAAATGTTTCAAGAAAAAGAAAAAAAACCTCTTCTATATCCTTCACCCATATTCCCCAATTATTAATACTTTATCACATTTACTTGGTCATGTATCCATCATCAAGTCAACTTACTTTTTGTTGCATTTCAATATCAGTTACCGTTATCAGTACACTTCACCCAAAACAATTCAAAATGCACACTGTTAACTAGAGTCAGTATTTGTTTTTATTATTTTGAAGTAAAATTTATACATAGTGAAATGCTTACATCTTTAACATACTATTTGAGGAGTTTTGACAAATATATAAACTCTTGTCGATATATAGAGTATTCCACCACCCCAAAACATTTCCTAAAGTCTCTACCCATTACTGTCTCTACTCCACCTGGAAATGCAGAGAGGCACAGCCCTGTCTCTTGCACCCATAAGGACACTCACAGCATAGACTGGGCAAGGGCCAGTATCTCTGGACTGACTGCCCATCAGGGAGAGCTTAGGCCTCAGCCAGCTGCTGTAGCAATGAGAGAGTCCCATAGAGGGCAGACAGGGGTATCTTTGCTTCTAGATCCCAGGTTGACCTGGGGTTATCCAGCTCCATCCTCAGCCCACACTCCTCCAGCAGGCCATAGGTGATGGCCAAACCCTCACTCTGGAGTGGGGCAAGGAGCTCCGGTTTGAGGGTGAAGGGAATGCTCCAGGGGTATCTGAAGTTCGGCTCCAGGATGCTCCTTACCTAGAAGAAGGATGATCAGACTCTACAGACCAGCCTTTAAGATCAGGAAGAAAAGGCTTCTGCCCAGCGTCCAGGGGCCATGCAGGATAACAGAAGGAGCAAGAGCTTTGGGATCCAGAGGACCAGAAGTAACATGCTCGTCATATCCTATGATCCGCAGATCAAGTTATGGGAAATCAGGGAGCATTGGTTCCACATCTATGAAATGGTGAAAATAAAACTCTCCTCGTAGAATAGTGGTGTTTTTATTTCTAAATGTATATGCACATATGTAAGAACACAGTAAATGCATATAAAGGTACGTATTTATATGTACATATACTTGGAGAGAGAAAAACAGAGAAATTAGCAAATCATAACAGTGTAACTAGAGCAGAAGTAATTAGCAAATGGTAACAGTGTGAGTAGAGCAGGAATATTATATCCCCTTAGTCCTCAAAGTCCTGTGCTCCCATATGGCTATTTTAGACCATTGGGGAATGCTGCAGAGATTGCCATGGAAGCTAAGACCCTCCTGAGGGAGGCTCATACCCACTGGACCAGGTGTCCAGAAGGACACTGCAGCTAGGGATTTCCCAGTGGCCACCGTTGGATAAGGACTCCCCTCCCAGCATAAACCTGTATCATCTCTTTCCTCAGAATCTTTCTTCTTACCTCTGGTTCCCTCACCCTCTTCCCTGAACTTCTGGCCCCTGGGAAGTTCTCACCAGTTCCTGTTGCTGAAGCAGGATCCTCATCTCCACAGAACAGGCCAGCAAATCATGTTGGATGTCATTCAGCACTGAGGGTGGAGGACATGTGGGGAAAGACAGTAGTGAAGAATCCAGATTTTTCCTCCCACCATAAAGCAGGAGACTCCCTGAGAGAATAACTCCAAAGTAGAGGAATAAAACCCGTTAGACTTAAAGGTCAAGCTCCCTGCCCTGGGAAGCCCTTCAGAATGGTCTCCAGGATGCTAAATAAGAGGGACCAGAGGATGGGATTCAGGGGCTGAAGGCTGGAATCACCCACCTCCAGTGATCTGTGGATGAACATAAACTGGTGACTTCCTAGGCCTTAAACTCATTCTGTATCATATGGCAAGTTATCACAGTGAGCCCTCTGACCTTAGAGAGAGCTGTGATGTAAGGACGAAAGATCATGGCATTCAAAGGGTTTTGGACACATGGCATCTAACACAGATTTTTGGGGGTCTGGGGACCAAACTTATGATTCTCCCATTCTTCCCTTTAATTAATCTTACCCATTATGGCTTCAAGGAGATAAAGAATGGGGTCCTTTGGGTTAAACCATGCACGGTTTGAATACTGTTGAAGTTTCTTTAGGATGGCACCACCAGGGCCATCCAAATGACCTGAGCTGTCCAATTCCAGCTACAGAAGACAGGTATTATTGTTAATAAATAATACTAATAACAGTAACATTATATAATTTTCCTGTGTCTACTGGTGATAACCAAGGGGTAGGGGTGAGGGTTCTCTACCTCCTACCAGGGTTTCCAAGCAGCCTCAGTAGTGGGGGTGGCACTTTCTGGCCCATTGTGCCCGGCGCCAGAGTCCCGAGCCTTTCTCATTCCCCTGGCATCTTGCTTATTCTTCCTCCCCCCTGTAACTTGGGAGTCGTATCTCCTAACCAATCCCATTTACAGCTTACCAGACCTATGCAACTGTGGAGCCCCTCACCATGTCCATCAGGTCCTGTAGAGCCCCTCTGTCTCCGAGCATGGCCAGGATACTATAGAACACGACATCCTGAACATCCTTTGAGAGCTGAGCCAGTGTCTTTATTTTCTGGAAAACCTCCTCTTGTAGATGCTTGAAATCTGCTCTCAGGCATCATCAATGCCAACCAGAAAGTGGGGCAAGTATTTGATTAGAACATCCTTGAAATGATAGCCTGTTTGCATGAATATGAGCCAAACTCTTCCATCCCTTTCAGCTACTAACCAAAATTGTCTCTGCTAATGGCACACTTGAGCTCTGTGGATAGAGCTGTCACAGAAGCTAAAAAGATGGACAATCCAGCATTCTGAAAAGAGGAAATAGGATACTGGGAGCAGAGATTGAGATTTTGAAAAGACATCATCACTAATGGAAGATAATGACAAAGTGGTCATTTCTAGGACATGTCAGGAATACTGTAAAATCTAGCACTGGGCTTTAGAGGCGAAAATCTTAGGTGCTCTGGAATCAGTTTCCATATTGGTTAAATGGGATGCTATGAGGATTAAAAGAGTTTATGTAGGCCAAGCATGGTTGCTTACACTGTAATTCCAGCTCTTTGGGAGGCTGAGATGGGGGGATTGCTTGAGGCCAGGAGTTCAAGACCAGCCTGGCCAACATAGTGAGACCCCATCTCAAAAAGCAAGAGAGAGACAGAGTTTATGTATGTAAGGCACTTGGCACATATAGGCTGCCCTTATTATCAGGCAACTTTGCCAGTATCCTCAAAGTCTATGAAGAATTAACCATGGGGTGGATGTTGGGGGCCATCTGTTTCTCCCAGGAGGCATCAGGCGCCCTCAGGGTGATCTGCTTGGGATGACAGATCACTGGATTGGAAGCTCCAATGAGGCAAGAATTTATGTCTGTTTGGTTCACAGCCATAACTTTCAAGTTCAGAATAATGCTTGTTGTCCAATAAGTCCTCAATAAACGTTTGTTTGTTTCATGAGCAAAGTGTAAATTTGGAAGTGGATCTAGATTTCTGACTTGCATGGAAACCACCAATTTAGGTGCTCAGATTTGCAGCTCCCACCTAGAAGCCCCAGGTTTCCCCTTAATAAATACTTACTTTGCCAGAAGGGTTCCTCTATTCTTCCTAGAAGGAGAATCAAGTCATCATCTCACTTCCTCATCCCCCCAAATTTGCTTTTCAGATGTTTTGGAGGGTTCTGCTCTCCTACCACCTCCTCCCTCTCACTTAACTTCTTCCTGCCCCCATCACCATTCATCCCTCCATGTTCTCAGCCTTTCTGGACCCTTTCCATTCCATATGACCAAGGGCCAGTCCCTAGGGCAGTGGTGGCAAAGGCAAGGCAGGAGCAATCTGCCCTACTTACCCCATGTGTGCAGGATGGGATCCCCACCACCACCTCCAGCAAACTCACACTCACCTACTGGGAGAATGCAAACTTGTTCGTATTCTAAAAAGAGAAATGAAATTCCTCACCAAAGAGGCTCAAAGACTGGATTTCTCCAGTCTTCTGCCTTTCTTTCCCTGAACCCCTCTTCTCTATCTGTTCCAGCCCTTTTCCCAAGGGGCCAGACTCCAAGACCTTGGGTAATAGCACCAAAGGCAATCAGGTGAGTTTTTGTTGTGCAGATTGTCCTGGGAGGGGAGGGCCATATTCCACTCACTTGGCAAATGCCCTCTCAAAAATTTCGGTTTCAGAAATAGCTCTGGAAAGAGAAAGAAAAATGTTTACTCACCAAACGTTAGTCTACCCCTACTTTTCCTCTTCTACTTCTTTCCCTCTTGGTCTCACCTCTAACTCCTCTATCCTCCCCTTATTTCCCACATGTACCATCAGTTCAGTTGAAAAACTTCCCTAGAGAGATGGATCCCCAGGCAGCCTCTCTCCCCAACAGACTCACACCATTCCCAATGTTCAAAGGAGAAAGCCTGGTTTCCCTGTGGCCCCAGGGGACAGTGGCGCAGTCAGAGGAAGGGGTCAATTGCAGGAAATGGAGGAGTCTGATTGGGGGAAAGTTCTCTGTGGGTCTGTGTGGGCTGAGCCCAAGCAGGTCTCTTGTGGGAATTCAAAGGGGGTCAGGGATCAGCAGTGCCTCAGTTCTAGGCAAAAAAAACTGCCAGAGGAGGATGAGCGAGATGGTGCAATAGAAGCCTACCTGGTTCATACACCCCACACAAACACCAAATTTTAACAACTGTCTGCACAGAGAAAAGCACGATCATAGAAGCAAAAATCAGGTGAGTAATCACAGTACCTGGTTTTAACTTCATATCTTTGGGCGAGGCATTGAAGAGGGTTGGAGAGATAGTATGAAATGATGGTAGCCACTCCTCACTCCTCGCAGCACAGGAGACTAGCCTCTGGGAAATTTTGTACTCTTGGGAGAGAGGGAGAGCACAGTGACTGGGTGAAAAACTTTACATTGAACTCAGTACTGCCTTGTCATAGCAGAGAGCAGAGCCAGGCTGGGCTCAATCAGTGCCAGTGCACAAAGGGAAAATTTGGATAAGACCCAGTCAAAGGGGAATTGCCCATTCCTTCTTTCAGAACTCAAGTTTCTTGGCAAGCCTCACAAATGCCAGCCAGAGTGCTCTGGAGTCCTAGGTAAACTTAAAGGTCAGTCTAGGACAGAAGGACTGCAATATTTAGGCAATTTCTAATGCTGAGCTGGGCTCAGAGCCAGAGGACTAGAGTGACATGTGACCTAAAGAGATACCAGCTGGGGTGACTAAAAAAAGGTGCTTGTGCTACCCCACTCCCAACCTCAGGCAGTGCAGCTCACAGCAATGAAAGTGTTTCATTCCCTTTGTTTAAGTGGAAGAGAGTGAAGAGTAGAGAGGATTCTGTCCCGCATCTGGGATGCCATCTCAGCCACAGTAGGATAGGAGACTAGGTAGAGTTGTGAGGCCCCCGTTCCAAGCCCTAGCTCCTGGACAACATCTCTAGACACCCCTGAGTGAAAAGGGAACCTACTGCCTTTAAGGGAAGAACACAGTCCTGGCAGAATTCATCATCGGCTTAATAAAGAACCACTGGGCCCTAAATAACCAGCAGCAGTACCCAGGTGGTATGTAGTGGGCCTTGGGCTCTGAGATGTACTGACCAAAGTTGTGACCCAGCATATTCCCAACTGTGGTGGCTATGGTGAAAGACTCCTTCTATTTGAGAAAAGCAGAGGGAAAAGTCAAGAGGAGGCTTTGCCTTGCATCTTAGGTACCAGTTCAGCCACAGTGGTGTAGTGCACCAAGCAGGCTCTTGGGGCCCTCAAGATCAGGTCTAGGGTCTTCAACAGCATTTCTGGACCTGCCCTGGGCCAGAGGAGAGCCCATTTCCCTAAAGGGTGAGACCCAGGCCAGACAGCATTTACCACGAGCTGACTGTTGAGCTCCTGGGCTGTCAGCAAACATATGCAGTGGCCTGGCAGAACCCCTCATGGGCCAGTGGTAATGGTGACCACAGAGAGAGCTTCTCTACCTGTGAAAAGGGGAGGGAAGAGTGGGAAAAACTTTGTCTTGTGATTTGAGTGACAGCTTAGCAGTAGTAGAGTAGAACATAAGGTAAATTTATAAGATTTTTTACTTCAATCCCTAGCTGCCAAACAGCATCTCTGCACTTACCCAGGTCCTGGGAAAACTCAGTGCTCTGAAGGAAGTGAAAAAACCTCACTGGTTTTGTCACCTGCTGATTGTAGAGCCCTAGGGCCTTGAGTGAACACAGGTGGCAGCCAAGTAGTGGTTACAGCAGGCCTTTGGTGAGACCCAGTTCTGTGCTGGCTTCAGGTCTAACCCAGTGCAGTGCCAGTGGTGGTGGCCACAGGGGTGCTTGCATCACCACACTCCCAATTCCAGGTGGCTCAGCAGAGAGAAAGAGAGACCCCATTTGTTTGGGGGAAAGTAAGGGGAAAAAGCAAGAGTCTCTGCCTGGAATTCCAGGTAATTTTTCTGGATCTTATGCAAGACCACCAAAGCAGAACTTCTATGAGTCTAAAACAACCACAGAGATATTCAACAGGAAGTCCAAGTCCCTTTGAATACCTGGAAAGCCTTCTCAAGGACAGGCACAAACAAGCCCAGACTGAGAAGACTACAATAAATACCTAACTTGTCAATGCCTAGATACCAAAAAACACCTACAAGAATCAGGATTATCCAGGAAAACATGACCTCACCAATGAACTAAACAAGGCACCAGGGACAAATCCTGGGGAAAAAAAGAGACATGTGACTTTTCAGATAAAGAATTCAGAATAGTATTTTGAAGAAACTCAAAGAAATTCAAGATAGTATGAGAAGGAATTCAGAATTCTATCAGGTACATTTAAAAAAGAAATTGAAATAATTAAAAAGAATTAAGCAGAAATTCTGGAGTTGAAAAATGCAATTGACATACTGAAGAATGCAAGAGAGTCACTTAATAATAGACTTGACCAAGCATAAGGAAGTATTAGTGAGCTTGAAGACAGCCTATTTGAAAATATACAGTCAGAGGAACCAAAAGAAAAAAGAATAAAAAGCAATGAAGCACACACATATGATCTAGAAAATAGCCTCAGAAAAATCTGAAAGTTGTTGACTTTAAAGAGGACATAGAGAAAGAGATAGGGTAAGAAAGTTTATCCAAAGGAATAACATTAAATAATTTCCCAAACCTATAGAAAGATATCAACATTCAAGTACAAGTAAGTTATAGAACACCATGCAGATTTAACCCAAAGCAGACTACCTCAAGGCGTCTCATAGTCAAAGTCTCAAAGATCAAGGATAAAGAAAGGATCCTAAAGCAGCAAGGAAAAAGAAACAAATAACATACAATGAAGCTGCAATATGTCTGGCAGCAGACTTTTCACTGGAAACCGTACAGGCCAGGAGAGAATGGCATGACATTTAAATTGCTGAAGAAAAAAAACTTTTATCGTAGAATAGTGTAACTGGCAAAAATATCCTCCAAGGATGAAGAGAAATAAAGACATCTCCAGACAAACAAAAGCTGAGTAATTTCATCAACACCAGACCTGTCTTATAAGAAATGTTAAAGGGAGTTCTTCAGTCTGAAAGAAAAGGACATTAATCAGCAAGAAGAAATCACCTAAAGATACAAAACTCACTGGTAATAGAAAGCACATGGAAAAACATAAACATTATAACACTATAATTGTGGCATGTAATACTCAAGCAGAAAGACTAAATGATGAATGAATCAAAAATAACAACTACAACAACTTTTCAAGACATAGTACAATAAGACATAAAGACAAACAACAAAAAGTTAGAAAGTGAGAAGGTAAAGTGTAAAATTTTTATTTTATTGGGTTTCTTTTTGCTTACTAGTTAATTTGCTTATGTAATCAATGTTAAGTTCTCATCAGTTTAAAATAATGGGTTATGAGACAGTATTTGCAACTCTGACAGTAACCCCAAATCAAAAATCTTACAATGGGTACACAAAACATAAAGCAGAAAATAAAACACCACCAGAGAAAATCACCTTCCCTAAAAGGAAGGCCAAAAAGAAGAAAAGAAGGCCACAAAACAAACAGAAAACAAATAACAAAATGGCAGGAGTAAATCCCTATTTATCAACAATAGCATTAATTGTAAATGGGCTAAACTCATCAATCAAAAGATGAAGAGTGGCTAAAAGGATTAAAAAAAAAAAAAAAAAAAAAAAAAAACAAGATTCCATGATCTGTTGCCTACAAGAAACACACTTCACCTATAAAGATACACATAGACTGAAAATAAAGGGATGGAAAAAGATATTCCATGCTAAAGGAAACCAAAAAAAAAGGCAGAAATAGCTATACTTATGTCAAACAAAATAGATTTCAAGACAAAAACTGTAAGAAGAGACAAAAAAGGTCATTATATAAAGATAAGGGGGTCAATCTAGCAACAGGATATAATGATAGTAAATATATATGCGCTCAACACTGGAGTAACCAGATATATAAAGCAAATATTATTAGAGTTAAAGAGAGAGATATTATTAGAGCTAAAGAGAGAGAGAGCTAAAGAGAGATTCTTAGAGCTAAAGAGACAGTAATAGGTGAAGACCTCAACACCCTACTTTCAGCACTGAACAGATCTCCCAGAAAGAAACTCAAGAAAGAAACATGAGACTTATTCTGCACTATAGAACAAATAGACCTAATAGATACTTACAGAAAATTTCATCTAAAGGCTGCAGAATACACATTTTTTCTCCTCACCATATGGATAATTCTCAATGATACACCATGTTAGGTGATAAAACAAGTGTTAAAACATTCCAAAATATTGAAATAATATCAACCATCTTCTCTGACCACAATGGAATAAAACTAGAAATCAACAATAAGAGGAATTTTGGAAACTATACAAATACATGGAAATTAAACAATATGCTCCTGAATGACCAGTGGGTCAAGGAAAACATTAATAAGGAAATTGAAACATTTCTTGAAACAAATGAGACTGGAAACACATCATACGAAAAGCTGTGGGACAAAGCAAAGCAGTACAAAGAGGCATATTTCTAGCTATAACTGGACAAATCAAAAAAGAAGAAAAATTTCATTAAAAACTACCTAATGATGCATCTTAAAGAACTAGAAAACAAGATCAAACCAAACCCAAAATTAGAAAAAAAGAAATAATAAAGATCAGAGTAGAAATAAATGAAATTAAAGTGAAGAAAACAATACAAAAGATCAATGAAACAAAAAGATCAATGAAACAAAAAGTTGGTTTTTTGAAAAGATATACAAAAATTGACAAAACTTTAGCCAGACCAATAAAAAAAATGGAGAGAACGCAAATAAATAAAATCAGAGATGTGAAAGGAACACTACAACTGATACAGCAGAAATTTAAAGGATCATTAATGGCTACTATGAGCAACCATATGCAAATAAATTAGAAAATCTAGAGAAAAAGGATACATTCCTAGATATATAAAACCTACCAAGATTAAACCATGAACAAATTAAAAACCTGAACAGATCAGTACTGAGTAATGAGATTGAAGCTGTAATAAAAAGTCTCCCAGTAAAGAAAAGCCCAGGACCTGATGGATTCACTGCTGAATTCTACCAAACATTTAAAACGAAATATGAATACTAGTCTGACTCAAACTGTTCCAAAAAATAGAAGAGAGAATACTTCAAAACTCATTCTATGAGGCCAGTATTACCCAGATACCAAAACTAAACGAAGACGCATCAAAAAAAAGAAAAAGAAAAAAACCCTATAGGCAATATCTCTGATGAATATTGACGCAAAAAGTTTCAACAAAATACTAGCAAACTGAATTCAATGAAACATTAACAAGGTCATTTACAGCCAGGTGTCATGGCTCACACCTGTAATCCCAGCATTTTGGGAGGCCAATGTGGGCAGATTACTTGAGCTCAGGAGTTTGAGACCAGCCTGGGCAACACGGTGAGACCATGTCTCTACAAAAAATACAAAAATTAGCCAGGCATGGTGACACAGGCCTGTAGCCCTAGTTACTTGGGGGCTGAGGTGGGAGGATCATTTGAGCATGTGAGGCAGACGTTGCAGCGAGCCATGTTCATGTCACCACACTGCAGCCTGAGCAACAAAGTAAAACCCTGTCTCAAAAAAAAAGAAAAGATTCATCATGAGCAAGTAAGATTTATCCCAGGGATGCAAAGATGGTTCAACATATGCAAGTAAATCAATGTGATACATTATATCAACAGAATGAAGTACAAAAACCATATGATCATTTCGATTGATGCTAAAAAGCTATTTCACAAAGTTTAACATCCCTTCATGATTAAAAAAAAAACCCTTTAAAAACCAGGTATAGAAGAAAGATACCTCAACATGATAAAATCCATATATGACAGAGCCACAGCTAGTTTCATACTGAGTGGGGAAAAACTGAAAGCCTTTCCTCTTAGATCTGGAACATGACAAGGAAGTCCACATTCATTATTGCTATTTGGCATAGTGCTGGAAATCTTAGCTGGAGCAATCAAACAAGAGAAAGAACTAAAAGGCATCCAAATTGGAAAGGAAGAAGTCAAATCATCCTTGTTTGCAGATGATATGATCTTATATTTGGAAAAACCTAAAGGCTCCACTAAAAAAACTATTAGAACTATTAGAACTCCACTAAAAAAACTATTAGAACTAAAAAACTATTAGAACTATTAGAACTAAAACTATTAGAACTGTATTCCTCAGTAAAGTTGAGGAATACAAAATCAACATACAAAAATCAGTAGCATTTCTATATGCCAACAGTAAACACTCTAAAAAAGAAATTTAAAAATTAATCTCATTGACAACAGGGATAAAATTAAACACCTAGGATTTAACTTAACCAAAGAAGTGAAAAGTCTCTACAATAAAAACTATAAAACACTGATGAAAGAAATTGAAGAAGACACGAAAAAAGTGAAAAGATATTCCATGTTCATGGATTGGGAGAATTACTATTGTTAAAATGTCCATACTCCCCAGAGCAATCTATAGATTCAATGCAATCCCTATCAAAACACCAATGACATTCTTCACAGTAAGAAAAAAAAAATTCTAAAATTCATATGGAACCACAAAAGACCCAGAATAGCCAAAGCTATCCTCAGCAAAAAGAACAAAACCAGAAGAATCACATTACTGGCTTCAAATTAAACTGCAGAGCTATAGTAACCAAAACAACATGGTACTGCCATAAAAGCAGACACAAAACCAATGGAACAAAATAGAGAACTTAAAAACAAATCTATGTACCTACAGTGAACTCATCTTTGACAAAGGTGCCAAGAACATACAATGGAGAAAGGACAGTCTTTTCAATAAATGTTGCTGGGAAAACTGGATATCCATATCCAGGAGAATGAAACTAGACCCCTATCTCTTACCATACACAAAAATCAAATCAAAATCATTTAAAGATTTAAATATAAGGCCTTAAACTATGAAACTACTAAAATAAAACATTAAGGAAACTCTTCAGGACAATGGTCTGGGCAAAGATTTCTTGAATAAATAACCCACAAGCACTGGCAACAAAAGCAAAAGTAGACAAATGGGATCACATCAAGTTAAAAAGCTTCTTCACAGCAAAGGAAACAATTAACAAAGTGAAGACACAACCCGCAGAATCGGAGAAAATATTCGCAAACTACCCATCAGAGAAGGGATTAATAACCAGAATATTTAAGAAGCTCAAATTACTCCATATAACTAAATCTAATAATCTGATTGAAAATGGGCAAAAGATGTGAGTAGACATTTCTCAAAAGAAGACATACAAATAGCAAACAGACATATGAAAATGTGCTTACATCATTGATCATCTGAGAAATGCAAATCAAAACTACAATGAAATATCATCTCAGCCCTGTTAAAACGGTTTATATCCAAAAGACAGGCAATAACACATGCTGGGGAGGATGCAGAGAAAAGGAGACTCTCATATGCTGTTGACAGGAATGTAAATTAGTACAACCACTTTGGAGAACAGTTTGGACCTTCCTCAATAAACAAAAACTAGAGTTACCATATGATCCGGCAATCTCACTGCTGGGTATATACACCAAAAGGCAGGCAATCAGTATACCAAAGAGAGATTTAAGAACAAACAAACCATGTTTGTTGCAACACTGTTCATAATAGTCAAGATTTGGAAACAAACTAAATGTCCATCAACAGATGAATGTATAAAGAAAATATCATCCATATACACAATGGTATACTATTCACCCATAAAATAAAGAATGAGATCCTATTATTTGCAAAAACATGAATGAAACTGGAGGTCATTATGTTAAGTGAAATAAGTCAGGAATAGAAAGACAAACATCTTATGTTTTCACTTACTTGTGGGATGTAAAAGTCAAAACAGTCAAACACATAGAGATAGAAGGATGCTACCTGAGACTGGGAAGGGTGGTGGGGGGCCTGGGGGAGAGGTAAGGATGGTTAATGGGCACTTTTAAAAAGCTAGAAAGAATGAATAATACCTAGCATTTGATAGCACAACAGGGTGACTACCGTCAAAATAATTTAATTGTACATTTTTTTAAAACAAAACAGTATAACTGGATTGCTTATAACATGAAGGATAAATGCCTCAGGAGATGAATACTCCATTTTCCATGATGTGATTATTACACATTGCATGCCTGTATCAAAATATCTTGTGTACCTTATAAATATATATACCTCCTGTGTACTCACAAAAATAAAAATATAAAAAGACCAGGCTTTGGAACTCACCATCTTGAAAGGTTCTCTGTTCATCATCATCTGAGATGAGAATGGCTGAATGGAAAGAACTTCCATTAGGAGAGTTGAGGTTATTCCTGCCTGAGTCTTTCCCACAGCCCCAACCTGGACCAGGGAACCCCTTGTATCAAAACCACTGGGACGCCTGTTAAATCTGACCCCTGGCCTCACTCTGTGCCTTCTGAATCACTTTGAAGGGTGCCATAGAATCTGTATTTAAATAAGCAATTTAGGTAATCATTTTGCCATCCAACATTTGGAAATTACCTTGATAGAGTAAAGGAATTCAGCTCCCTTTGACCTTCACTAGGTAGGATTGCTTCCTGCTGCCCTTTTCTTACTGACCTACCACTCTCAATCTGGCATCTTCTTGGATGATTTCACATTCCATGTAGAGAAATATGCTGAAGTCTGAAACTCACCTAACACTAAAGTGTAAGTGTTCAACAGGGGAAAGAGCCTATGAAGAAGACAAAAAGGTTGTATAAGGGTTGAAAAGTGTGAACTGAATGAAGTTAGAGGAAAAGCTAACCTCACAGCAGTGACTGCAAGTCGTGTTCTGACTACTAGCGGGGAAAGTGGCACTCCTCTATGTCAGACGTCTCATCTGTAAAATGGAAATGAGATCTTCTCTCCCTAGCTGATGCAAGGAATGGAGATACATGTCCAGCAATGTAACTGACATCAATTCATCTTCACCCTCTCCAGTTCATCAGGATCTTTCCCCTAGCCTGAGAACAGGCTTAAGTCTTCACCATCTCGTAAACTCCCTTTCCAAAGCTAAGTATCTCCTTTAGTTATCTCCTCCTCCCACCTATTGTCTCCTCACAGCCAACTTCCTTCAAGAACCATCTACACACTGGTTCCTCACTTCCCCTCTTTGCATTCACACTTCAACTACTGTAGTTTATTCTCCAATGAATCTACCTGGCTTCAGTCACCAATGAATACTGACTTGATTCTATCTGGATACTACCACATCATGTTTTGTGGGGTCTTCTTTTACCTGACCACATCATTCTTTGTTTGTTGTTGATGATGATGATATTTTGAAACTACAGCTCCTTTTCTTTTCCTTCTGTTAAAATCATCTTATCATTCACCATGACCTTTGGTAGTGCCACCATCTCATGGTGCCCTTCGCAGGAGTCTCTGACCTCTCCCGAGAGTGGGAATCCCATTCTCACCCCTTCTCCTCATTAGAGAGTTGCTTTGGATATGGTCAGTCTTTCCAGAAGCCAGAGTCTACTAACTGAAAGATTGGAGAGAGTTCAGCCTCATTCTGTCTATGGCCACTGGTGGGAGGTAACTGACATCAGGACATTCCCTTGACCATGTTGCAGTGAGGATACTATAGGCAGTAGAGTGTGAGAGTGAGTGTGCGAGAATGAGGAGCTGAGCTCGATCTGTATTTGAATGAGCTCTAGCTGGGACTTAGCATTTGGGAAGGGAGAGAACAAGGACTCTGAGAGCCGGTTGTGTTCCCAGCACTCACCATCACACCCAGGTATGCAACTGACACAGATGCTTCTGCCCACATGGAGTCAAAACCCAAAGTGTGTGTGGTCAGGAACTGTGCATTTTGAGGCTGATGAAGGAGGGAAAGATGTAGATAAAATTCAGGCTTATGTTCTTAGGGCATTGTGTGTGCAGTTTTGTTTGTGATTGTGATGTTGTTACCTCATAGGACCTTAATATGGGATTATGGGTAAGCTTGGGTAATTCTCAGTGACTGAAGAGTTGCTGAGGGTACTTAAGTGAATAAGGATGGTTAGGAGTAGGGTTGGAATTTGCCCAGTGCTAACAACACTCCAAGATGAACAAGTTGGATTATTTTGCAGGTATGAGGCTGTCTCTGTATCTCCCAGTAGCAGCATTTCAGCCAGGCCATGCTTGGAGGTACCTCTGTGTGGTAAGATGGGTGTGTGCCCTGGACAGTAAGAAATGTACATGCTTCTCCTTGGATAGGCAGAGCAAAGATTGCATATTATGGCTATTTTCCTCTCGCTTCTCTCTCTCAGGAGAAGCAGACACCCCCCTCCACTGCCATCTGCCTTGCTGAGCTCTGCTTACTCCCACCTTTCTCCTTGATAACCAGCTGTTTTCTCTTATAAGCCATCACCATGCCCTTCTGCAGAGTCAGCGCCTTCTTCTTCACTCTGAGACTCTCTCCTTGGCCTTGACCCTGGGGAGAGAAACCAGACAATACAGTATTAAATGTATGTAATTTTAAAGGTCAGATGGCTCTAGAAAGCTCATGAGGAAAACCACCAGCATTCCCTGCTCTCATCCTCCCTACTGCTGACTTGTGATTTCCAATCACTGCTCTTTCTTCCTTGTTTCATCCTGTGCTCATCTTCCCATTTCTCAATTTCATGTTGATATTGCAATGTTTTTATTTCTTTCCAGATTTAACTATTTATTCTCTTTTTGATTATGATGAATTTGTTTTCCTTCTCTTTCCTCATTCCTTATTTCCCTTCTCCCATCTTCCTGAAACATGAATATCCCAATTTTTAAGGTAATATTCACTGTTTATACTTGGACAAAACTGCTTTTCACCACTCCCATCTTTCCTTTATCACCACATTCAGTTAATGTGATGTCCCTGTGCCTTCTCTGTTTCTTTACTCATTCTCTCCAGAGGAGATGGGGAACACATTTTTTTGAGAACTTGTGCGTCTAAAAACATTTTTATTGTACCTCTCACACTTGATTGCTATTTTGACTGGTCATACAATTCTTGGCTGGAATTCTCTGGAATATGACTTTATTTCCCCTTTAGAAATATTTATTGTTGTCTTTTTGAGGTAAGTGTTCTGAAAATTCACTCTTAAGTTTTATGGGGTAGATCTATGTTGACTCAAGAAACCATGCCTTCAGTGGACATTTTCATTCTGGAAACACATTCTTTGGGTCTCAGAACCTTCCTTGTATTTCCTCCTAAAAGATTTTCCACATTGCATTATGTCTTTGTTCTCCCCTTCTGGAACTCCTATTATTCAGGAGTAGTTAAATCTCCTTGACTGATCCTCAAGTTTTGTTTTGTTTTAATTGAGACAGTGTCTCATTCTGTTGCCCAGGCTGGAATGCAGTGGCACAATCATGGCTCACAACAGCTGCAACTTCCAGGCTCAAGCAATTCTCCCACCTCAGCCTCCCAAGTAACTGGAACTACAGGCATGCGCCACCACATCTGGCTAATTTTTTGTTTATATTTTATAGAGACAAGGTCTCACTATGTTGCCCAGGCTGGTTTTGAGCTCCTGAGCTCAACCAATCCACCTGCATGAGCCTCCCAAAGTGCTAGGATTACAGGCATGAGCCACTGTGCCTAGCCTCCAAATTTTTTTAATGAATATTCTCCTGTCTTTTTGCTTACTTTTTCCTGGAAATTTCTTTGATTTTGCTTTTTGATTCTTCTATTTAAGTAAAAGAATAATAAATTTCTACTACTCTATTTTTAATTTCTAAGAGCTATAAATACCCTTTTTACAGAGCATTATTCTTTCATGAAAATAAAATATTATCTCTTTAATGGGATCAAGTATTTCTTACCTTCCTATGTTGTTTTTGTTTCCTCTAATTTCCTAATTTCAAAGTGTTTTTGTTTTGTGTTTTAGGCTTTCCTCAAGTGTCTGTGATTTTTTTCTGTTTCGCTAACGAGTGAAGCATGAAAGCTGCTAAGTGTGCCTAGGCAGGGCATGTTGAGTAGAGGTTTCACTTTGGGGCAACCAGGCAGGGATTAAACTATCTCTTTGGAGTCTCCAGTCGTTGGGGGATTTTTAGTTATTTCTTCTGTACTGGTTAATTTTCCTAGGAAATAATTCTTCAATATCCTGCCTAGGCTGTGTGTTGTGGGGGTAGAAAGGGTAGAGACATGATGCCTGGAGCTGAATGGGGAAAGGGACTCAATGTTCCCACTCTCAATGAGGACTTGCACCTATTTCCCTTTTCCAATATGGCTTCTCACTCCCACCCTTCACTGTAACTAGTCTCCGTAAATCTAGAATCCACAGGGAATAAGTTTTCCACAAGATCTTCTGCCAGAGTGGTGAGGGTAGGTGCCTGGCTATGCAGAGGTGGGAAGGGATTTGGGCTCTGAGTATTCCTTATAAAGATTCCCTGGAGTGATTATTACACATTGTATGCCTGTATCAAAATATATCATGTACCCCATAAATGTATACATCTACTATATACCCACAAACATTTTTTAAAAAATTAAAAAGATTTCCAATCAATATTCTTACTTTCAGTCCCACCTATACCCTATCTTCAGAGATAGCTAGTGCCTCCGATTCCTGAACCGTTTGGGGATTCTTGTTTCTAGACTTTCTTCCCTGCTGCAGGTGGGGGTCCACTATTCCAGCTTTCCGGAGTCTGTTACCATTTGTCTAATTTTTAGCAGTAACTCACTGGCATTGGGAAAGTTAGTATGCATATCAGGTTTCTTCTTTAGTTTCTAAAGCTCTTAAGTAAGGACAAATTACACAGACATAGTGTAAAAGCACATTATAACACACACAAACTTTATATGTCCTTGACCCATACTTAATCTGAATATTTGATAAATGAATTTATTTATATTAAAAATATTATACTTGGTTATTATGAATGACTCGTGTAAGTCACATGTTCTTGAAAATACTTTGATCTCACTCCTTGAAATATTTCTCATCAGGTTATCTTAAAGTACTTTAACAACTGGGGTTTGGTGCTAGTGGTCCCACATCTCTTCCAGCCACAAAACTAGACTGTATATAACACAGAGGTCACACACTTGCATTCTGCAGAATTTATCATTTACCCAAAGCAAAACACAATACTAAATAATTAAATATATTTCTGATTTTGTCAATACTGCATGACCCCATAGTAAAACACTATAATGGAGGATATTAGAATATACTCTCAGATCAGAAGTCAGGATATACTGACAGGTAAGAAGTGGGAAATAATGACTCCATCCTTTGTAATCCCTGGAAACAGAGTCCAGAGCCCTCTAGGAAATGAAGCTTGGCTGCCAGGATGGGCTATATGTTTTGTATTTCAATCCCACTTCAGGACAACTTTATACCTTGCCATAGGTAATCCAAAGAGAAATTTTCCCTAAAATATTCACACCACTGCTATTGTACAGCACAGTATTGTTGATCAGTTCAACAGCTTCTGTCACCACGTACAGGTTGTCCCCTCTCCTCCGGCACTCCTTCAGAAATGATGGCTCTGGATCCAACAGTTTCCTGGGGATTTAAGGAAGGAGGAGGAGAGTCAGAGTGGGAAAGCAATGCCTTTTCAGGTTACCCTGGGGGCCCTTCTCCTCAAGACCTGGGAGGGGTGCAATGCCTTTGGACCCTGAAAGGTGAGCCCCCAGTGGGTGTTAGGGCAGCAGAAAGTTTTATCTGACATACAGAATGAAGGAGATCCCATTGATGGTGGTTCAGGTGTGAGAGTATATGTACCATATTGTTAAAGGCATCTGCATTTTGCTAAATTATACTGGTCCTGTTAAGGGGTAATTTATAGAATTTCAACACTAGGGTCTCTCAGAAAAAAAAAGGCTAGAAGCAGACAGGTCCAGATGATTGAGAACGGTCTTTAGGAAGTCCTGTTGTCAAAGCTGGGTATTCACATCAAACATGTCCATTAGCACAATCAGGGTGGGCTGGAGAGCAGACAGATAAAGTGGGATGAAGCAGGGAAGACTCTGGATGATTTTATGACCTTTACAGATTTACTGCCCTTGGTGGGTGGATTGGTAGGGCTGACTTGATGATGTAGTTTCTCGGGATACATATGAATGGTTTGAAGTACTGAAGACAGATTTCATTTCTATTTCAGTTCTTTCTGAGGCTCAACCTTGATTCTACTCAAGGCACCCATGGAGTCAGTGTCCTAGATAACAGTCATGTGGAATATTGAGGGATTCTTAATTTGCCTTTCAGTAGAGGAGGTTACTGAGCACACAATATTAGGTTTTGTCATTGCTGTCTTCTTACCATGTCCTTAGATGCTATGTTATGTGACATCTACTTATCTTCCAAGCTTCATGTTATATCTCCTTTATCCTGGTTGTCTAGGCTTCCAACTCACTGACCTTGCTACTTATCCTTCATTAGAAGGGTAAGAGTAAGAGTTTTACTTTGGCAGAATCACCCTTCCCCCAAGCGCCATCACAACATGGATGGAGTTCCCCTGGGCCCACAATCTCTTCAACAGGAAAAAAGAGAGCCAAAGTAGCTATCCAGCTTCAAAAAGCATTCCAAAGCACATCCTAGGAGGTCCAGCTCTGTCCCATGTCACAGAGAACATTGAGGGAATCGGCAGGACTGGACCACCTGGGTCACCTAGAAGCAAAGAAGTGGTCAAGGCTTCAGCAATCACTGCATGGATCTTGGCAGTGACACTGCATTCCTACTAGCAGTGGCACCCAATCAGAGAGACCAGCCAACAGCTTGCCCGCCTGCAGACCCAAGCCAACCAAATTGTCTGGCCAGGAAGTATGGTAGGCAGTTTCTGTCTGGCTTGCATCCTTAGCCAGTGGTATAGCCTCACTGTGGAGGTCAGTCTCAGAGCCCAACCTAAGTTCCTTGTGAGACAGGAAAGCCAGCCAGCAATGCTGCCTAACTGTGGAGCACAGCCTCTGGCCCCAACGGACCAAGGATCCTCCACAACTCTGCCCAGCCTCAGGGCCCAGCCTAAGACTTTGCCCAAATAGGAAGGCCAGCCAGCAACCACACCTAACTGCAGAGCACAGCCTCTGCCCTGGCCTGAACAGGAAGTCCAAACAGTGATGCTTTCCAAGTTCAGAGCCCAGCCCCAGGCCCTGCTCAAGCAGGAAGTCAAGCTGGTGACTCTGCCTAACTGTGGAGCATAGTCTGTTACCCTGCCTCATGAAGGAGCCTGATCAAGAACCCAACACAGCCTTGAAGTTCTGCCTGCAACCACACCCAAATGTGGGGACACAGGCTACAAACCCAGCCAATCTGGGAGTTCAGTGACCATGACTGACCATGGAGCAAAGTGAGTAGCCCTACCTGGATCAAGTTCCCAGTCAGTGACCCAGCACAAGCACACAGTGCAGCCTGTGCCTCTACCCACACATGGAGCCCAGCCTGTGGCCTGCCCAACTACAAAGCACAGCCTGAGACCATCACCAATTACAAAACCTAGTCTGTGGCTCCATCTGAACATGGCATTCAGCCAGCAGCACACCCAGTCAGGGAGCACTTCATGGGCCCCCACCCAACCAGGGGCAATTTCAGAGCCCAGCCTAAAGCCCTGCCCAATTATATACCTTAAATAACAGTATCACAAGGAGCACAGGCTGCAACAACATCTGACAAGAGGTGATTGTGGGGTCCAGCCAGTGGCCCCACTTGACCACAAAGCCAGTCAAAATCCCCACCCTATGAGGGAGCCCAGCCAACAGCTCTTCCTGATCACAGAACCCAGCCAGTGATCCAGCCCAACCATGAGCACAGCCAGCAGTTCCACCTCAGAGTGTGGGCAGTGGCTGCACCAACTAGAGAGTGTGAATAGCAACCCACACTTACTCATGAACACTAACAGCCAGTCCATCTAGAACCAAAGGCTGGACTGACTGGTGAAGGTCTATCTCTACTGATATGAACTTGTTAAGGCTAGAAGAAGTGGCTGCTGCCTCAAAAGCACAAAAAGAAATGCAAGATACAAGGATTATGAGGTATCAGGAAAACGTTATACCACCAAAGGAAACTAATAAAACGCCAATGACTGACTCTAAAGAAATGGAGATCTATAAACCAACTGACAAAGAATTCAGAAGTTCAATGAACTACAAGAAAATACAGATAGACGATGAAACAAAATTAAGAAAATAATATACAAAATTAGTTCCACAAAGAAATAGAAACCGTTAAAAAAATCCTACAGATAAAGAATACAGTAACTAAACTGAAAAAAAATTAGGAAAGTTTCAACAGCAGATTCAATCAAGCAAAAGGAAGAATTAGTGGACTCAAAGACAATTTGAAAGTACCCAGTCAGAGGAATAAAAAGAAAACAGAATGCAGAGTGAAAAAATATATATGGCACTTATGGGATACCATCAAGTGAAACAAAATATAATATTCTCCAGAAACATAAGAGAGTGAGAAAGAGATAAAAAGCCTATTTGTAGAAATAATGATAGCCAAGGGCAGTGGCTTACACCTATAATCCCAGCACTTTGGGAGACCAAGGTTGGAGGATCACTTGTGTCCAGGAGTTCACAACCAGCCTGAGCATAATATTGAGACCATGTCTCTCCAAAAAATAAAAATTTAAGCAAGTTGGTGGCACACACCTTGAGTAGCTAGGACCTGTAGTCCTAGCTACTCAAGAAGCTGAGGTGGGAGGATCACTTCAGCCCAGGAGGTAGAGGCTGCAGTGAACCAGGATCGTGCCATTGCACTCCAGCCTCAGTGACAGAGCAAGACCCTGTCACAAAAGAGAGGAGAGGAGAGGAGCAGAGAGGAGAGGAGAGGAGAGGAGGAAACTCCCAAATTTTGAGAGAGAAGGGGGCATCAAGATTTGTGACACTAAAAATTTCCCAAATAGGTTGAACCCAAAAGGGTCTACACCAAGACACAGTACAATTAAATTATCCAAAGTCAAAGATAAAGAGAAAATACCGAGCGTAACAAGAGAAAAGCTACTCATTACATACAGGGGAGTATCTATGAGACAATCAGCAAATTTCTTAGGAGAAACCTGGCTAGGAAAGGATGATATATTCAAGATACTGAAAGAAAAAAAAACTGCTGTCTTGTTCTGTTTTCTGTTGCTGTAAGAGAATATGACAGACTGGCTAAATTATATAAAACTGAAGTTTATTTGGCTCATGATTCTGGAGGCTGGGAAGCCTCAGAGCATGGCACCAGCATTTGGTGTTATGTCATCTCATAGAAGATGGTGAAAAGCAGAAGCAAACACACAAGACAAAGAGAATATAAGCGCTGAACTTCACCCTTTTGTCAACAGCCCACTCCTGCAAAAACTACCCAACTCCCACAATAATGATATTAATCCATTCATGAGGGCAGAGCACCTTACAAGAAATGCAAAAGGGAATTCTTCAAGTTGAAATGAAAATATGTTAATTAACAACATAAAACACATGAATGTGTAAAATTCGTCAGTAAAGGAAAATATATAATCAGAGTCAGAATTCTGTAATATTCTAAATGTGGTACATAAATGATTTTCAACTCTGGTATAAAAATGTTTTAAGTATATTAAAAATAACTCTACAATAATTTGTTTTTAGATATACAGTATAAAAATATGTAAATCATAATATCAATAACCTAAAATATCAATGAGGGGAAGAAGTAAAGCAATGAGGGGAAGAAGTAAAGGTATAATGCTTTTTATGCAATCAAAATTAAGCTGAAGGCCAGGCATGGTGGCTCATGTCTGTAATCTCAGCATTTTAGGAGTCCAAGGCAGGCAGATTACTTGAGGCCAGGAGTTCAAGACCAGCCTGGCTAATACGGCAAAACCCTGTCTCTAATAAAAATACAAAAAATTTGCCAGTTGTAGTGGCACACGCCCATAGCCCCACATACTTGGGAGGTTGAGGCATGAGAATTGCTTAAATCTAGGAGGCAGAGGTTGCAGTTAGCTGAGATTGTGCCACTGCATTCCAGCTTGAATGACACAGTGAGACTGTCTCAAAAATGTCCAAAATAGGTTGACCCCCCAAAAAAAATTAATCCCCCAAAATTAAGTTATCAGCATAAAATAGGATATTATAACTATAAGATATTTTATGTAAGCCTCATTGTAACTACAAAGGAAAAACCTGTAGTAGGTATGCAAAAGATTAAGAGAAAGGAATCAAGCATCCTACCACAAAAAGTAATCAAATCACAAAGGAAGATGGCAGGTGAGAAAAAAGGAAAGAAAAAAACTATAAAAGTCATAAAACAATTAAAATGACAATAGCAAGTAGTTACCTATCAATAATTATATTAAATGTAAACAGATTAAATTTTCCAAACTAAAGACAGAGTGGATAAATATATAAGAAAGCAAGATCCAATGACTTGTTGCCTAAAAGAGATTCGTGTTAGCTTTAAGGACACACAGGCTGAAAGGGAAGAGATGGAAAAAGAAATTCTAATGCAAAAGATGGCCAAAAAAGAACAAGGGTGGCCATACTTACATAGACACACACACACACACAAACACACACATACACACACACACACATATTTTATATATATATATATATATATATATATATACACATATATGTCAGATAAAATGGACTTAAGTCAAAAACTGTAACAAGATAGAAGAATGTCATTATATAATGATACTACTATAAATATGCACGAAACATCAGAGCACATAAATATGTAAATCAAATATTAACAAAACTAAAAGGAGAAATAAAGAGCAATACAAAATTAGTAAGAGACTTTAATACCCACTCTAATGGCCACATCACCCAGAAAAAAAAAAATCAATGCAAAAATATAAGACTTGAAAAAAATATTATAAACCAAATGAGCCTAACAGACATATACAGAACATTCCATCTAACAGCAGCAGAATACAAATTCTTCTCCAGAGCACATGGAACATTCTCCAAGACAGACCATATGTTAGGCCACAAAACAAGTCTTAACAAATTTAAGAAGACAGAAATTATTTCAAGTATCTTTTCCAATAACAATGGCACAAAACTAGAAATAACAAGGAATTTCAGAAAATTCACAAATATGTGGAAATTAAACTGAACAATCAGTGGGTCAAAGAAGAAATCAAAAGGGAATTCAAAAAATATCTTACACAAACAAAAATGAAAACACAACATACCAAAACTTATGGGATACGGCAAAAGCAGTTCTAAGAGGAAAGTTTATAAACACCCACATTAAGAAAATAGAAATAATTCAGATCAACAACCTAACTTTATACCTTAAAGAACTAGAAAAGAAGAACAGACTGGGCACAGTGGCTCACACCTGTAATCCCAGCACTTTGGGAGGCCAAGGCGGGCAGATCACAAGGTTAGGAGACCGAGACCATCCTGGCTAACATGATGAAACCCCATCTCTACTAAAAATACAAAAAAAAAAAAAAAAAAAAAAAAAAATTAGCCAGGTGTGGTGGTGGGTGCCTGTAGTCCCAGCTACTTGGGAGGCTAAGGCAGGAGAATGGCGTGAACCCAGGAGGTGGAGCATGCAGTGAGCGAAGATCACACCGCTGACCACTGCCCTCCAACCTAGGCAACAGAACAAGACTCTGTCTAAAAAAAAAAAAAAAAAAAAAGATTAGAGCAGAATAAATTAAATGGAAAATAGAAAAACAATAGAAAAGGTAATAAAACTGAGGGGTTTTTTGAAAAAAATTAAAAATTGACAAACCCTTAGCTAGACAAACCAAGAAAGAAGAACTCCAATAAATAAATTTATAGTTAAAAGGAGACATACAAATGATGCCACAGAAATAAAAAAGATCATGAGAGCCTATTATCAACAATTATATATCAACAAACTGGGGCATCTAAGAGAAATGGATAAATTCCTAGAAACATATGACATATTGAGATTGACTCATGAAGAAACAGAAAATATAAACATATCATTAACAAGTAAGGTGATTGAATCAGTAATCAAAAAAGCTCCCAAAAAACATGCCCATGACCGAATGCCTTCACTGGTGAATTCTACTAGACATTTAAAGAAGATTACATCAATGCTGCTCAAATCAAAAAACTGAAGAGGAAAGAATAATTCAGATTCATTGTGCAAGGCCAGCATTACTCTAATACCAAAGCCAGATAAGCACATTACAACAAGAAAAGAAAATTACAGGCCAATATATCTGATAAACATAGATGCAAAAGTCCTTAACAAAATTTTAGCAAACCAAATTTAACAGCACATTAAAAGGATCGTACAGCATAATCAAGTTGAATTTATCCCTGGAATGAAAGGATGGTTCAACACATGTAAATCAATAAATACAATACAACATACTGACATAATCAGGGACAAAAACCATATGATCACCTCAGTAGATGTAGAAAAAGCATTTGGTGAAATTTATCATCCTGTCATGATAAAAACTCTCAGCAAATTAGATATAGAAGAAATGTACTTTAACATAATGAAAGCTATACATGGTCATAATAAAGTCCACAGCTAACATTATGCTCAATGTTGAAAAGCTTTTCCTTTAAAATAAGGAACAAAACAAGAATGTCCACCCTCACCACTTCTCTTCAGTATAGCACTGGAAATGCTAGCCAGTGAAATTAGGGAAAAATAAATAAATAAAAGGCACCTAAATAGGAAAGAAAGAAGTAAAATTATCTCTTTACAGATGATATTATCTTATACATTGAAAATCCTAAAAACTTCATTTTAAGAATATTAGAACTAATAAATAAATGCAGTCAAGGTGCGGGATACAAAATCAACATTAAAAATCAGTTGTATTTCTATAAATTAACAATGAACTATCTTTAAAAATCAATTTATAGGCTGGACATGGTGGCTCTCACCTGTAATCCCAGCTCTTTGGCGGGCTGAGGCAGGTGGATCACCTGAGGTCAGGAGTTCGAGACCAGCCTGGCCAACATGGCAAAACCCCATCTCTACTGAAAATACAAAACATTAGCTGGGCATTGTGGCAGGCACCTGTAATCCCAGCTACTTGGGAGGCTGAGGCAGGAGAATTGCTTGAACCCGGGAGGCAGAGGTGGCAGTGAGTCAAGATCATGCCATTGCACTCCAGCCTGGGTGACAGAGTGAGACTCTGTCTAAAAAAAAAAAAAAAAAAAAAAATCCATTTATAATAGAATCAAAAATAATAAAATACTTGTGAATACATTTCACCAAGGAGGTGAAAGGTCTATATACTGAAAACTACAAAATTGATTAAAGAAGACAAAAATAAACAGCAAAATTTTTGTGCTCATGGATAAGAAGAATTCATATTATTAAAATGTCATACTACTCAAAGCAATTTATAGATTCAATGCAATTCTTATCAAAATACCAACGATAATCTTCACAGAAATAGAAAAAATAATCCTAAAACTCTTATGGAAAGACCCAGAATAGCTAAAGCAATCTCAAGAAAAACAAAGCTAGACACCCCATACTTCCTGATTTCAAAGTATATTACAAAGCTACAGAAGTTAAAACTTATGGCACTTGCGTAAAATCAGACATATAAATTAGTGGAATCAAGTAGAGGGCCAAGAAATAAACTCATATGTGTATGATCAATTAATATTTGACAAGCGTGACAAGAATAGATAGTGGGATAAAGGATAGTGTCTTCAAAAAATGGTGTTGAGAAAACTGGATATTCACATGCAAAAGACTGAAACTGGGTCCTTACCTTATACACAAAGATCAACTCCAAGTAGATTAGAAACCTAAATATACGATACGGAACCTTAAAACATTTTTAGAAGAAAATACAGGGGGAAAGGTCCTCAAGATTGGTTATGGCAACAGTTTGTTTGATATGACACCAAAAGCACCAGCAGCTAAAAAAAGAAAAGTGGTATTCAGCAAACTAAAAAGCTTCTGCACAGCAAAGGAAACAATCAACAGGGTGAAAATGCAACCTACAGAATGGTCAAAAATATTTGCAAACCTGATAAAGGGTTAATATCTAAAATATATAAAGAATTCATATAGCTAAATTGCAAAAACAAAAACAAAAATCTTGATTTAAAAAATGGGCAAAGGACCTAAATAGATATTTTCTCCAAATAAAAGACATACAAATAAGCTAACAGGCACATGAAATGGTGCTCAAAATTACTTATCAGGGACATAGAAATCAAAACCACAATGAGACAAAACTTTGCATCTGTTAGGATGGCTTTTAACAAAAAGATAAGTGTTGGCAAAAGATGTGAATTAAAGGAAATCCTTGTATGCTATTAGTTGGAATGTAATTGATATAGCCATATGGAAAACAGTATGTTGGTTCTTCAAAAAACTAAAACTAGAACTACCATATGATCCAGCAATCCCATTTCTGGGTATACAGCCAATGAAAACTAAATCAGTAGCTCAAAGACATATCTGCACTTCTATGTTCATTGCAGCATTGTTCACAAAAACCAAGACACCAAAACAACCTAAGTGCCTGTCAGCAGATGAATGGAAAAAGAAATCATAGTATGTGTGTACAATGGAATATTATTCAGCCATAAAAAAGGAAGAAACCCTGCTATTTGCAACAACATGGATAAACCTTGATGGCTTTATGCTAAATAAAAATCAAACAGAGAAATACAAATACTGTATAATCTCACATATATGTGGAACCTGTAAATGTCAAACTTATAGAAACAAAATATAATGGTGGTTAGCAGGGGTTAGGAAGTCAGGGAAATGGGGGGACATTGGTCAAAGGGAACACAGACTAACAATACTGTATTGTATATTTGAAATTTGCTGAGAGTAGATATTAAATGTTCTCACCACAAAAAAAAAAAAAAACGATAACTAGGTGAAGTAATAAATATGTTAACTGCCTTTATTGTGGTCTTTTCACAATATATACATACATCAAATCATCACATTGTACACCTTAAATTCACACAATTTTATTTGTCAACTATATCTCAATAGAGCTGGAAAAAAAAAATAAATCCCAAGACAGTAATGTACATGTTATTTAAATAAATAGTTTTAGAGTCTTTGTCTCACTTAAATTAATACTTTGTTAATTTATTTTTTATTGCTTATTTTCTTACTCCCTGCCCATCCCTTGTCTCCACTAAATGTAAGCTGCTTTATGACAGGTATTTACATCTGTCTTGTTTTCATTCTATCCCCAATGAATAACAGCACAGTAGTGGGTAGTTACTGCTCTAATAAGTATTTGTTAGGTAACTAATAGCTATTACTCGAGTAAAGGAAGATATGAATACTTAAAAAGAGTAGCAAAATCTGGGATGTCATCATCTTGATTTTCATTCCTACAACAAGACATGCTAGATGTATTTTTGTGTTCAAGGATAGCACCCCCTGGGATACTGATGATCCATTCCCTTCCTCTCCCATGGCCTCACCTTTTTTGAAAGTCTTCCAGGTTTGGAGATGGGATGGTAACAATTTGAAACTCAAGGGAGCATCCATGGTCCACAGAGGCCTCCCCTGACACACTCACTTCTACACCAACATTCACACTCACATCAGCCTTATGCTTCTGGATCACAATGTCACTGAAGTGGAACGGTCCTGTCACAACAGTTTCTGGGAAAGAAAAGATGACCATAGGTTTAGCCAAGAATTCATTCAAGAATTCAAAGGTTTAGCCAAGAACAGCTGGTGAGCAGAATGAAATCACAAAGACCTATTTTGCCCCAACCCTCCCACTCATTTAAAACTCTGTTGAAAACTAACTAATCAACTGAATGTAAATTACTACAGACAGAAAATGTTTAAATGTTTAAAGGGGCACTGTGTGACAGAGATAAAATCTTCACCCTGAGAAATAGTGGTGTCAAATGTACAGTGTCCAGAAGACCCCTGGGATCATCCTTCCAGGCACACTGTCTCCTCTGCAGCAGGCACAGCACCCAGCCGCAGAGGGCAGCACACAGGGGCCGAAAATGTTTGGGATGTGGAGCCAGACAGACCTGGGTTTGGATAGCAGTTCTACCAGTTCCCAGAGACAAACTGTTTTTGGTTTGGTGGTGGTGGTTGTTTTGAGACAGAGTCTCACTCTGTCATCCAGGCTGGAGTGCATTGGTGCAGTCTCAGCTCACTGCAACCTCCACCTTCTGGGCTCAAGCAATTATTGAGTCTCAGCCTCCCGAGTATATGAGAGTACAAGAGTGCACCACCCTGTCTGGGTTTCGGCATGTTGACCAGACTGATCTCGAACTCCTGGCCTCAAGTGATCTGCCCACCTCAGTCTCCCAAAGTGCTGGGATTATAGGCATGAGCCACAGTGCCCAGCCCCCAGGTACATAACTTTGAACAGACAATTGTATAACCTTCTATTTACTCTTATGTAAAATGGGGATAATATCCTCATGAGCCTGATGCAAATATTAAATGACCTAATGAATGCCTACATCCAGATAATTAGTAGGATTCTCAATTTGTCTTTGTTTCTTGCCCCTTGTCTACAGGCAAGGCTAGTCCTGAGAGTTCCTTTCTAGGTGCTCAGTTATTTTTGGATGCTGGGCCATCTTTTTCTGACCACCCATGTTTTTCACCCCTCACCTCCTAGGCCTCTGGCTGACAATACCTGGGACTGAAGAACTTGGCTCCAGGATATCATTGAGGGAGAATCCAACTGGAACATAGTCAGATTGTCCCCAAATAGATGAACGAGAATCCTTCTTTCGTAATATAACAAACTGACGTAATTTGGTGGCACTCAGTAGGTATTTGACAGGTGTCAAGTCTTTGCTTCCAATCTCTTTGATCAAATTTTTGCTAATGCGTTCAAACATGGAGGGCATGTTGCTAGGAGGAGATGAAAGGAGAACATCAGTTGGGAAAGGAAGAAAATGGTTAAACTCTCACCAATTATTGATATTTCCCCTAAAGGAAAAGATCTACATATGAGATTAGCAGGTCTTAACTTAAAATAGTGACTAGATTATAACTTTCGCAACTTTGAGTTCTTTTTTTGTTGTTTTTGAGACAGGGTCTTGCCATGTTGCCCAAACTGGTCTTGAACTCTTGGGCTTAAGTGATTCTCCCACCTCAGCCTACCTAGCATCTGGGATTATAGGCACACACCACCACAACTGGCTTCCAACTTTGGGCTTCTAAAGACAATTTGGGCTTCTGACAGAGGCACTGCTGTGAAATTCATTGCCCCTTATGGTTGGAGTAGGAAATCCTGGGTATCTCCTCACCTCTAACCCAGGGATACTCTAAATAACAAGAAGAAGGAAGGGCTCAATACTGTCATCAACTAAAGGGCCAGAGGGAAGGCGGAGTTTATGTTAAGATGATATGAGTAGTGGTAGAGAATATGTTGGTGTTTGCAGTTTTACGGAGAAAGCCACACTGAGAAGTGACAGTTGAACAATAATGTAGAGGAGGCAAGGTATAAACAATGAACATTATGTGGAGAAAAGAATTCCAGGTAGAGAAATCAGCAAGTGAAAAGATTTAGAAGCAATGCATGCCTGGAATATGTGAGGTGGAAAGGAAAGAAGATGAGGTCAGAAGAAACTGAAGGCAAGTTGGTGAAGGCCCCTGTCGGTCATTTTCATCACTCTCTTTTACTTGAAGTGAGATTAAAAGCCTTTGGAGGGATTTGAGCACACAAGTGACATATCTGATGCATCTTTTGCAGAGAGATGTCTGTGGTGGCTGGGTTGACATTAGCCTGCAGTAAGGGAGTTCAGGCAGAAGTGGGAAGTCTAGTAGGGCAGTTTTGCAATAATACAGGTAATCATTAATGACAGGGTAGGCCAGGGCATTGCACTCCAAGTAATGAGAAATGATCAGGTCCTAGTCTACACTGAAGGTAAAAACAACATATATGAAAAGGATGGTTTGTGGAGGATCATTCCAAGATGGCCGAATAATGACAGTTCCAGTCTGCAACTCCCAGTGTGATCAATGCAGAAGACAGGTGATTTCTGCATTTCCAACTGAGGTACCTGGTTCATCTCGCTGGGACTGGTTGCATAGTAGGTGCAGTCCACAGAGGGTGAGCCCAAGCAGGGCAGGGTGTTGCCTCACCAGGGAAGTGCAAGGGGTTGAGGGATTTCCCTTTCCTAGACAAGGGAAGCCGTGACAGACTGTACCTGGAAAAATGGGACATTCCTGCCCTAATACTGCACTTTTCCAATGGTCTTAGCAAACAGCACACCAGGAGATTATATCTTGCACCTGGCTTGGCAGGTCCCACGCCCACAGAGCCTTGCTCAGTGCTAGTGCAGCAGCCCAAGATTGAACTGCCAGCTAGCAGCCTGGGCTGGCAGAGGGGTGTCTGCCATTGCTGAGGCTTGAGTAGGTAAACAAAGCCACCAGGAAGTTCAAACTGGGTGGAGCCCACCGCAGCTCAACGAGGGCTGTCTGCCTCTGTAGACTCCACCTCTGTGGGCAGGGCATAGCTGAACAAAAGGGAGCAGAAACTTCTGCTGACTTAAACGTCCCTGACTGACAGCTCTGAACAGAGCAATGGTTATCCCAGCACAGAGTTTGAGCTCTGAGGACAGATAGACTGCCTCCTCAAGTGAGTCCCTGACCCCCATGTAGCCTAACTGGGAGACGTCTGCCAGTAGGGGCCGACTGACACCTTATACAGCCAGGTGCCCCTCTGAGACGAAGCTTCCAGAGGAAGGATCAGGCAGCAATATTTGCTGAGGCACTTTTCAAAAAAAGACATACATGTGGCCAACAATCTTATTTAAAAAAAGCTCAACATCACTGATCATTAGAGAAATGCAAATCAAAACCACAATGAGATATCAACTGACACAAGTCTGAATGGCTATTAATAAAAGTCAAAAATAACAGATGCTGGCAAGGTTGTGGAGAAAAGGAATGTTTATACACTGTTGATGGGAATGTAAATCAGTTCAACCATTGTGAAAGACAATTTGGTGATTCCTCAAAGTCCTAAAGACAGAAACACCATCTGACCCAGCAAGCTCATTACTGGGTATATACCCAAAAGAATAGACACCATTTTATAATAAAGACACATGCTTGCGTATGTTCATTGCAGCACTATTCACAATTGCAAAGACATGGAATAAACCTAAATACCCATCAACTGTGGACTGGATAAAGAAAATGTGGTACATATACCTCATGGAATACTATGTAGCCAAAAAAAGAACAAGATCAAGGACAGCTCCCAGTGGCGCTAGCGGCCATTATCCTTAATAAACCAACACAGAAACAGAAAACCAAATATCACTTGTTTTCACTTATAAGTGGGAGCTAAATGATGAGAACACATAGACTCATGGAGGGGACCAACGCACACTGGGGCCTACTGGAAGGTAGAGGATGGAGGGTGGGAGGAGGGAGAGGATCAGGAAAAATAACAAATGGGTACTAGGCTTAATACCTTGGTGACAAAATAATTTGTACAACAAACTCCCATGATACAAGTTTACCTATATAACAAACCTACACATGTACCCCTGAACTTAAAATAAAAGTATAGAAAAAGAAAATATATATATAATTTAAAAAAGAAAGAAAGAAAATGTAAGTCTCTAGTCCAGGAAGCCTATAAGGAAAACTATTTTTAAATTCTGCAATAAAATGTAATTTTGAATTAAAAAAAAAAAAAAAAAAGACTATTCAGGAAAACATGACCTTACCAAATAGACTAAATAAGGCATCAGGGACCAGTCCCAGAGAGACAGAGATATGTAATCATTCAAACAAAGAATTCAAAGTAGCTGTTTTGAGGACACTCAAAAGAATTCAAGATAACACATAAAAGGAATTCAGAATTCTATCAGATACATTTTTTAAGGAAATTGAAAAAATTAAAAAAAATTTTCAACTCCAGAAATTCTGGAGTTGAAAAATACATTGACCTACAGGAGAATGCATCAGCATCTCTTAATAACAGAATTGATCAAACAGAACGAAGAATTAATGATCTTGAAAACAGGCTATTTGAAAATATATAGTCAAAGGAGACAAAAGAAAAAAGAATGAAGCATGCTACAAGATGTAGAAAATAGCCTCAAAAGGGCAAATCTAAGAGTTATTGGCCTTAAAGAGAAGATTGAGAAAGAGATAGGTGTAGAAAGTTTATGCAAAGGGAGAACTTCTCAAACTCAGAGTAAGATACCAATATTCAAGTACAAGGTACAACAAGGTAACAGAACACCCAGCTAATTTAACCCAAAGAAGACTACCTCAGACATTTGATAATCAAACTCCCAAATATCAAGTATAAACTAAGAATCCTAAAGTGGCAAAAGAAAAGAAAACATAGCAAACAATAAAATTCCAATACATCTAGTATCAGACTTTTCACTGGAAACCTTACAGGCCAAGAGACAGTGGCATGACATATTTAATATGCTGAAGGGAAAAAAAAACTTTTACCTTAGAGTAGTATATCTGGCAAAAAATATGCTTCAAGGATGAAGGAGAAATAAAGACCTTCCCAGACAGACAAAAACTGAGAGTTCATCAACACCAAACCTGTCTTACAAACAGGGAGTTGTTCGGTCTGAAAGAAAAGGATGTTAATGAGCAAGAAGAAATCATCTGAAGGTACAAAATTCAATGGTAGTAGGAAGCACACAGAAAAACACATAATATTGTAACACTGTAATTGTGGTGTGCAAACTACTCTTACCTTAAGTAGAAAGGCCAAATGATAAACCAATCAGAAACAACTACAACTTTCAAGACATAGTACCATAGGACATAAAGAGAAACAACAGTTAAAAAGCAGAGAGACGAAGTTAAAGTGTAGAGTTTTTATTAGTTTTTTTGTGTTTGTTTGTTTATGCAATCACTATTAAGTTGTCATCCATTTAAAATAATGAGTTATAAGATAGCATTTGCAAGCCTCATAGTAATTTCAAATCTAAAAACATACAATGAATAAGCAAAAAATGAAAAGCAAGAAATTAAAATATGCCATCAGTGAAAATTACCTTCACTAAAAGGAAGAGGAAAATGAAGAAACAGAAGATCACAAAACAACCAGAAAACAAAAAATAAAATACCAAAAGTCCTCACTTATTAGTAATAACATTAAATGTAAATGAACTAAACTGTCCAATCTAAAGACATACAGTGATTGAATTAATTAAAAAACAAGAGCCAATGATCTGTTACCTACAAGAAATACACTTCTCCTATAAAGATACACATGGAATAAAAACATAAGAATGGAAAATATATTTGTGACAATGGAAACCAAAAAAGAGCAGGAATAGCTATACTTATATCAGACAAAATAGAGTTAGATTCAGATTAGAGCTAAAGAGGTAGACCCCAATACAATAATAGCTAGAGCTTCAACACCTCGCTTTCAGCACTGGACAGATCTCCCAGACAGAAAATCAGCAAGGAAACATTGGACTCAATCTGTACTATAGAACAAATGAACCTAATAGGTATTTACAGAACATTTTATCCAATGGACGCAAAATACACGTTTTTTCTTCTCATCACATAGATCATTCTCAAGAGTGGACCATATTTTAGGTCACAGAACTAGTATTAAAACACTCAAAAAGTTGAAATAATATAATGTATCTTCTCTGAACACAATGGAATGAAACTAGAAATCAATAATAGGAATTTTAGAAATTATACAAACACATGGAAAGTAAACAATATACTCCTGAATGACGGATGGGCCAATGAAGAAATTGATGAGGAAATTGAATCATTTCTTGAAACAAATGATAATGCAAACATACCAAAACCCATGGATACAGCAAAAGCAGTACAAAGAGGGAAATTTATAGCTATAAGTGTCTACATCAAAAGAGAAGAAAAACTTCAAATAA